GCTACACACGGGGTACGCAGTTCAAATATGGAATCCATGGTTAACGCGCCACAGGAAAGCTCTAGAACGTCCGCAGAGGCTGGTAACGAAATTGGTAAAAGGTCTATATAACAAGACATACTCCGGAAGACTGCAAATATTGGGACTCTACTCATCCCAATACCGCCGACTTCGAGGGGACCTAATATTGGCATATCACATACTGAAGCAACCCAACCACTCTTGCCGTTCTCTGCTGACTTTATCTCATGATGATCACCTCAGGAGACCGCCACTAAAGGTGAAGACTCAGAACAGCCACCTTGATTGCCGGTATCACTCGTTTGCAGTCAGAGTGTGCGGCGCATGGAATTCTCTCCCATCTGATGTAGTGTGTGCTCCTACAGTTGAACTATTTGAATTGCAACTTGATGAAGCATTGGAACACTTAAAATTTCAACATCCGTGAGTGATCACTCACATTATTATCATTGTTATTTTCTCTTTTTGAAGTTATTCAAAACATTCTGTAAAAATCCTATGGAGCATGATAAGCTTTAGCTTTGTTAAAACGCCCATAATAAAACTTTCACTTTGACTTTGAATGGAGGTCGAGAGCAAATGATTCAAATAATCATTCAGATTTTAAATCCCGAAATATGGTGAGTGTATGATTACAGCACAATCGTGAATGCTTNGTAGTAGCGTGAAGCTGTCCAAGCAGCCCTTAACAAACGAGCAGAATTATCCGGAGGATTGATACGCAGGGATTTAGGAATCAGATTATATCATAGACAATCTTGATTGAATGCACGATGACTGATCTAATTGGTAAGCTTTTTCATAGAATAATCCGATTGGTGATCAGGACCAAATAATGCTAAGCTGAGATATAACCTTATAAAACGAATGCTCAAATGATGACCGGGAAATATATCAGGATTTATATTATGTTCATCATTTCGAGCGGTAAGATTTGTGAAGTGTAATTGCCGCACACGACATTGTCCTTGAACATTCAGTCCCCCATTGCTCCTGGGCTAATTGTAAACTGATCAAAACAGTTAATATTATCTAACAAAAAGCTGCACAAATTAATGATTCCACATATCTCGCATCCGCTGATTAGCGGGTACGGTCAATGTTTGGTGCGGATTTCCTTCCAGTCGTTTCAGTACCGTTGCACAAAGATTCGTCCAATCGGTCTATTCTATTGGGATGCCCAGGGAACGCATCCAATGCATCCAAACACAACCGTAGGTAAATGTGATCTATTCGGCAAAAGCTGTTCAACAACTGGGCGGGATTACTAAACAGTTGGCTGTTATGACAGACAATGAAAAAACAAATTCATTCAGCATATTATGCGTCCCTGTGTTGGTCAACTCTGTCGAGTGTCTCAATGAGGATAAATTCCCCTACCCCCCCTCCCCGCGCGTCTATGTGTAATTCTATCCTGAAAATGCGATCCACAGGAGCGGTTCATGAATAAATGTATGCGATGTTGATGGATCATCCACTCACAAGCCCCACGATGATTTGAACTAAACCGACGAATACTAACTGCGAACGTTAACGAGACGATTCAGTCACCGAAACAACCATTGTGGGGATTGGTACAGGAATCCTGGTAGTAATTGTAGTAGTTATAGTAGTAAGAAATGTCTTTTTACTTACTTTTTTATTTA